AAAAATCTGTATTTTTCTCAAAAATCTCAAAATTCTGACTTTTTTCCTACAAAAATCTGACTTTTTCAAATGATCTGACTTTTTCTCAAAATTCTAGCTTTTTCTCAAAATTATGGCTTTTTCTCAAAAAATCTCAAAATTCTGACTTTTTTTCAAAAAAGCTGACTTTTTCTCAAAAAGCTGATTTTTTTTCTCAAAAAGCTGATATTTCCTAAAAAAATCTGGTTTCTTCCCTCATCATCTTGCCGTTTCCTTTCTTCATGTTTGATTGTACTTTATGTCTTGTCTCCGGATAAATGGTAATGTATGTAATCGTGTTTCCTCTCCCTGCCTCAGTCTCTGGTGGCGTTTCCTAAACTGAAGCGTCAGGTTGTGTCCTACGACCCGCCGGTGACGTCGCCGAAAGACTTTGACGAGGGAACGTTGTTCTACGTCAACCAGGAGTTCTCCCTCATGTGAGGAACACCAGATAATGTCATATGTAACAGTGTTTCTCAAACTCTTTCATACCAAGGACCACTTGACCAATACAAAAACACTCACGGACCACGTAATTCCACAAATATCCAGAAACAAGCGGCCTGCTCACCACTCCAACAGTTTATAACAAATGACAGCCTAATGATGAGAGCTTAACTTCTCTACACATTAAATCAACAACACAAATACAACTACACATTCTACAAGCATCGTTCATATGCCACTTCAAATGCTCACAGGTTGTACACCTCATATGAAATGTTGACTACATTTATTACGGAGATTATGTCCGAGCCAACAGACTCACAGATCGTTGGCTACTGAGATAAATGCAAAATACAGCATTTACTACGACACAAACAAATCACATCATTAACTGGTCAGTTTCTGCCTGACAGTATTTTACAGTAATTTACTTTTATATACATTTTCCATCTTGACAAACAATTGGTCCATCCTAAATGAGATTACAAGACACCATTACATACATTATAACATACGGAAATGCAGGTGTCTGAGAAGCAACAGGAATAAGATAGAAAAATAGGACAGATAATTATAATAAGTATAATAAACATTTAAGGAATAATAAATACAATATTAAAACATCCCAAACCTGCTGTTCACGTAAAAAGCTGTAAAACGTAAACAGATGGAGGAATATAAAGCACTACATCCTGTCAGGTACTCAATTCTCAACATCCTGACTTTTTCCTCAAAATATCAAAAATCCTGAATTGTTCTCAAAATCCTTACTTTTTCTCAAAACCTCAAAAATATGACTTTTTCGAAAAAATATGACTTTTTCTCACAGATCTAAAAAATATGACTTTCTCAAAAATATGACTTTTTCTCAAAATCTCAATAAACAGATGATGTTTTTTTCCCCTGATTTCTGCAGAAAACTGTCTCATTGTTTGTCGATGTTTTTTGTTTCCGTCCACAGAAAGAACTCGAAGGTCCAGAAGAGAGGGAAGATCAATCTGATTGGTCGACTGCAGCTCACCACGGAGCGAATGAGAGAAGAGGAGAACGAGGGCATCGTGCAGCTCAGGATACTGAGGACACAGGTAACGTGTGACGCGTGTGTGATAACAATAACAACAATGAAAAATACAACAAATACAACAAATAACGACCATAATAAAATGTGTGAACAAAATTATAAAATAGTAACAAAAAATAATGAAAATAAATAACAAAATTAATAAATACAATAAAAAAAATACATATATACATTTTTACTGCATCGTAACCAGTAAAAATACAGATTTGTTATTTAATGTATTAATAATTTATTTAAATGATTACATTTATTGACAGTTGTCTGTCTTTAAATTAATACTGAAAACATACAATTAATATTCTCTCCTTAAGCCAAAATCAGTCATGTGACCTCTCTTAATTCATCAAAACTGTCTGAGTTGGTCTTTCATTTTCCGTCAAGAGACTGAGTGAAAAGGCTTTTAAAAAAAAGAATAAACACTTTATTTCTTCTTTTAGTGTTTACTTTGACCACTCTCTTAACACCAGAAAGGCACACACCTTTAGGCCCCGTCCACACAGAGACGATATCAGTTGTATCCGCTAAAGTTCTTAATCGTATAGACGGTTCGTCCACACGAAGCCGAAACGGAGCCGCAGCTTCGGAGCCCGAAACCGATAAACTTTGAAACCGGCTCCCAAAGTGGGTAAGTCTGGAAACTAAACGCTTGCGACTCCGAGTGTACGCCCTATTTAATCTTTTCCTGAATCGATGACGCCATAGCCCCGCCTCTCCCCTCCTCTGCTGCTCACCCCCGCGTCATTGCTGATGCGCTTCGCCAACAACAACAATGGTGGATCGCAGAGTTGCGTTCGTGCTCCAGACGCTACCACGAATATCTGCCATCTTCTACCTTGTTTGTTTGTTTGTGCCTTACGCCCATGCCCAGTCTTCTTCACTGCTTTTGGTGTATTTTGTGGCGGAAGTACAGCGCCACTTACAGGCCCGGCATATGTACTACAGCGTCTCCAGCGGTTTCGTGTGGACGGAACACGTTTTTGAAATCGATTTCGAAACCGTTTCGTCTCCGTGTGGACGCGGCCTTAATCACTTATCTTTAGAAGGTTTTTTCTTTTTAAATCCTGCGCTAGTTTCGCTGGTATTTCCATGCACTTTTGCCCGTTTTATTCATATTTGTCCCCGCCTCTCTGTTTGTCCCCCCCCCTCTCCAGGAGGCCATAATCCAGATCATGAAGATGAGGAAGCGCATCAACAACGCTCAGCTGCAGACGGAGCTGGTGGAGATCCTGAAGAACATGTTTTTACCACAGAAGAAGATGATCAAGGAGCAGATCGAGTGGCTCATCGACCACAAGTACATCAAGCGGGACGAGACGGACCTAAACACCTTCATCTACATGGCGTAGCACTTACATTCTGTTACAAGTCTGCTAAACCCCGGACCTGATGGACTCTTCCAGGATCCCCGTCCTCTATTTAAAAATAAGGCAAACGTTTTATTTAAAGAGTAAAAAGACTTCCTGCCTTACGGTTGTACAGAGATGACAGAAGTGGTTTTTAATGCGTCTGCTGTCCAGATGAAGCTGTCTAATGTGTGTTTTTCGTCATCTGGATCGCTGCTGAAACACTCCCCGATCAATGCAAGTCTTCAAAGGCATGTTGGCAGGAAAGAGGGGGAACTCAAAATACCTGCAGAACACCTGAACCCTGAACTCCTCTCCGTGCTTTCTGCACATAATCCCGACGTTAAGTGTGTACAGAGCCACGTAAACACCTCACAGGTTGCAGAACAGAATAGCAACGAATCCTAACTCCTGCTTCTGTTGCCGGGTAGAAAAGAAATTATGAAATCAGTGCTAGGGGAAACGGGACCTCGTGTTTGTGCGACTGCTCTCTCTTTTCTTTCTACAGGTATCCCGGGAAAAGGAGGCGGAGGTCAGTGTTACACAATACTACAGTACAAAGCTTTAGGAGCGTGAACCATGAGATGTGAATAATAAAATGATTAAATAAAACAGCACCTTATTATAAAAACGTGCAGGCGTGTCATTTATCCCAGCTGCCTCTACTTTAAAGAGTCCTCTCCTGCTGATGTTCAGGTGTATATCAGTATGTAGTGTCTCTACTTTAAAGAGTCCTCTCCTGCTGATGTTCAGGTGTATATCAGTATGTAGTGTCTCTACTTTAAAGAGTCCTCTCCTGCTGATGTTCAGGTGTATATCAGTATGTAGTGTCTCTACTTTAAAGAGTCCTCTCCTGCTGATGTTCAGGTGTATATCAGTATCTAGTGTCTCTACTTTAAAGAGTCCTCTCCTGCTGATGTTCAGGTGTATATCAGTATGTAGTGTCTCTACTTTAAAGAGTCCTCTCCTGCTGATGTTCAGGTGTATATCAGTATGTAGTGTCTCTACTTTAAAGAGTCCTCTCCTGCTGATGTACTGCCAAGGCACGAC